GAAGGATGTCTGCCAGCAGACATTTGATTGATAAAGTTTATTTAAGTAGAGGCTAAATAAAATGAAAAGTAGAAGAGCTAATTGAGCATCAGTGGACACTTTTGCCCACTACTTATTTTCACAAAGTACTGTGGAAATGAATTGACCAGGGGATAGTCCTCCAATAGATAGCCTTGATCTAAGGGTGATCATTCCCTTTGGGCTCTTGTGTGTAACTTACTAGACTCAGAATGCTATTTGGCTCCATGAAACAGAACCTTGATGGAGGGTGACTTAAATGAGGGGCTCAGTTATACAGGTGACAAAAAGGGTGGGCATGCTAGGACTAGAACAGTGTTTCAAGGGGCCAGGTTGCGTCTCTCTTCCTCCACATGGCCATCATCCTCAAGAGTGTTAGATAAACCCCACTTTGGAGCGTTCATTCAAGTTCTAGGCAGGAAGAAGGGAAAATGGCAAAGGGAAAAAGCTGAGTTGACTCCACTTTTTTCCAAAAAAAAAAAAAACAAAAAAAAAAAAACAAAAAACTGCTTTATAGAAAGTTCCAGCTTAGATCCACTTCGAACTCATTTGCCAGAATGTCACATGATCACCTTTCACTGCAAAGGAGCCTGGAAAATTGAATTCTTATCTGGGCACACTGCCAGCCTGAACAAAATTGGGATTCTATTAAGTAAAGAGGAGGGGAAGAATAGGTATTGGTGAGGCAGGTAGAATGTCTTCCACAGTGGAGAGAAATGTATCAGAAAGCACTGGATCGGACTCTCAAGTACTCTAGCCAGCTGAAGATACAATGACAAACAGGAAATACAATCTTGCCAAACAAATAAAGCATCATGAATCATTTACATGGCTAAATCTTTGAGGCCCCTGGTTATAATCAGGATAAAATGTAACTACACCACTGTTTTTGTGATTTTAAGCCTTGTTATTCATATAAAACAGAAGGGAGGGGTTGGCTTCTCTTTAGCAGCAATCCAATATGAAAAGGGCATTAATAAAAAGGCATTTATAAAAAGTAGTAAAAATGACACTGTGACCAACACATATAGTCAGATGATAGTTCATGTGTGAATCAAATTAAACAAGCATAGAAATATTTCCAGATGTAATATGAAGGTACCTTGTAAAAGAAGCATTTTATAAATAATATGTGGAAATTGAAAAAATATCCTATTTTGTCATCAAATTCACAGCATTTAATGAATTATCCCTGGCTATTTCCATGCAGAACTATCAGATCCACATTTCTGACTATAAGATCAAAAAAAATGATTAAGCAATGAAACTCAGAATACTGCTTTCTTACTGAACAATCAAAATCCCAGAAATACATGCAGGCTACACTTCAGATTGTCGACTGACTACTATACTCCCACAAAATCCAAAAATTTGAATAGTAAAGTTGCACCGGTTCACCAATTGGATATTTTGGTGAAATCCAGTGAACTGATAGGAGTTTCTTTATTGGCTATATTCTTTGTACAGGAAATACACTCTGAAGAGTTTCAAGTTTTATGATTTCATTCAAATGATTATTTTTAAATTAATATAATCATTTCTAGATCATCTTATAAGTGTATTATTTCACTGTCTGGATTTAAGTCAACAAACGTGAAGGCACCAAGAGATGGTTTTTTCACTGTCTCAAATTACTGATCCTTAAAAGAAGGTTGGACTTCAGGCGTAATTGATTCAATGATGCACCATACAGGCCAAAGGTAGCTGGGTACACACACGCATAAGAACTGCAGAAATTTTGCTGAGAAAAGAGACAGGGGAATGGAGTCAGCCCTGGGCTTGTGGGGGTAGACAAGCAAACCCAAATGAACCTGCCATGGAGCAGCCACGACCGTATTAATGATTTGTGCAAGAGTTTGGATTTTAAAACACATTATTGGCCACATTAAATTAATGTTGTTCATTTGAATGTAATGGTTTTGCTGTTTTGTTTGTATTTAATTTGTAAAGATGTTTGGTTTTATAGTTGTATAATGGCTGTAAACAGAAGGAGTTTAGTCCTATTTTATTTTTAAACATATTTAAGTAACATTATAATCAAAACTATTTAATTCTGTACTGCAGAATGAAGAGATTGTCCTTTAAAAAGAGTCTCTATACTACTCAAGTCTGGGAAACACTTTTAAACCACTTTATTTCTCACAGAAAAAGACAATGGAGGTGATACCATTATTTCCAAGCCAAATTCATATTCTGTGACTGGTTGGTAAAGATGTACTTTACAGGTGCAGTAAGTCCCAAGTTCTTGTATTACTAATATAATTTCATAATGGTGTTTGATGGACATCTTGTCCTCTGCAAAAATAAGAATTGCAGAAAACTAAAAAGTTTCTGTGATCCTTTTTAAAGAAAACAATAAGTATATCTCTCCTGAGTTGACAGTGCCTTAGAAATTCTCTAGTCCAATCACCATTTGGGGGCACAGATGCAGAGAACTTAAGGTCCCCAGTGGTACACAGCTGTCAAGGCCATGCATGAGTGAGGCCGAAAGGGGCTTTTGAATATAGTGATATCTATGATGTGATTTCTGAACTGCTCACTGTCTGATCTGACTCATCCCCAAGACAAAGCGTCCTCTGAAATGTTTTGCCAAGAGGCTTTTTGTTTTTGTTTTTTAAGTTTATTTAGTTATTTTGAGAGAGAAAGTGAGAACGTGTGTATCAGTGGGGAAGGCGCAGAGAGAAAGGGAGAGAGAGAATCCTAAGCAGGTTCTGTGCTGTTAGCATGAAGCCCTATGCAGGGCTCAAACTCATGAATCTTGAGATCATGACCTGAGCAGAAAACAAGAGTTGGACACTTAACCAAATGAGCCACCCAGGTGTCCCCCAGTGGCTTTTTGATGGAAATTAGTGAGGAGGCTGAGTTTTAGTGTGGGGTCAGCACGGTGCAGAGCTGAGACCACAGTCAGGGATGCTGAAGCACAGTAGCAAATGGTGCTCTGAGCACATAAGCTCTTTTGAAAATTTGCAGACATCTTCAGGGGAGATTTAGACTCTTGCAGGGCACTGGATTTTAGACTGGGGTTTAAACAATCGCTTCCGGCCCTCAGAGACTGGAGAGATCCCTCCTGACTCCCATCTTCCATGGCAGGTGGGACTCCAAAGCCATGTGAACAAACCACTATAAGAACATCCCCTACTTTACCAGATTTTTAAACTAGATGCAGAAGCTGTTGGGAATGATTCATATTTTTATCAATGATCAATACAACATTAATTTTCTTTCAGTTCTTTCGAAAGTTACCAATAAGCAATGCCAGTGTTTCTGCTGCCCTTTCTCCCAAGAAAACACACTCGATGGGACATTCATGGCCTTCAAGTGTGATCTGCCCTTCTACACACAGCTTTTACAAGTACAGCAAAAAAAAAAGTAAGAAATTTCTTAAGAAAATGTTACTGTTACTGATAATGAACTTATTCTTTGAATCTTGACACATCAATGTTAGTTAACAAGCACTTTGAATCTTCAAAGTGACCACACCAATGTGGTTTAAATAAACCATAACCTTCCATGTTAACTTATATTACTTACTCATCAGGGTCAACATCAAATAGATTTTCATAAAACAATGAAGAAAACCTAAAATCCAGCCAAAAGAAAGAAAGAGAGAGAAGAGAGAAAGAAAGAAAGAAAGAAAGAAGGAAAGAAGAAGGAAGGAAGGAAGGAAGGAAGGAAGGAAGGAAGGAAGGAAAGAAAGAAAGAAAGAAAGAAAGAAAGAAAGAAAGAAAGAAAGAAAACAAAAATAATCTGACTAGATAGAGTTTTACCTTAACGTCTGCTTCCCCTTTTGCTACTCTTTAAAATGCTTCCTTCTGGGTTTGCCAGAAGCTTACCTGTTATGTTTGCAAACCTCTATTAAAAATAGCTGGAAGTAAATAACTAAAACATAGGCTGCTTGCAAAATGTAGCAGCAAGATAACACGTGTGTGCTACAGATGAAATAATTCCAACTCCTCTGCCGTTTTGCAGAGGTCTATAAAGTGCAGTACCAGAGACCAGCGGCACAGCATCGGACCAGAAAACTTTGTAGAAATGCAAATTTTAGGCACTACTCCATTCCAGGTCTACTGAATCAAAAGTCTGGGGAAGGGTTAAGCAATCTGTGTTTGAAGAAGCCCTCCAGGTCATTCTGATGCAGGCTAACTCTTGAGAACCACACCTTTTAAGTGAAACCTATTTTGAATGTTCAAAGCCTAGCTCCCCTGGAAAGCAATGATTATAAGAAACTATTATAATGCATGATGAGATTAGCTATTGTTTATGACAATAACAGGCATATGTTTCAGTTAAAAATGAATAATTATTTTCTTCATGAACTAAACTTTATAAGGTGTTTGACTATATAAATGGAGAGGCAGAAAAATAGGTTTTTTAAATGTTTCAGAATTTGAAATAATATATAGCCATTAATAAAAATATAGTCAGTTAAATTCTGAAATAAATATGTAGCCGTTAATTGAGAGTCAACATTTCATTCCTTTGTGCTATACTAATATACATAATCACACCTATGGTCTGCGGCTATTAACAAGCAATTTGAAGACTGACTATATTAAACATCTCATTCACTAATTCTTTCATAATCGAAAATCATGTTACCAAAAAAAAAAAAATAGGTCCTTTAAATCATAAGTCAAACAAATCACGGCATTCTCCATCTGTTTAATTACCATAACTAGAGGTGCTGTTAGCAACAAAAGGAAATTCAGAATTACAAAGTAAAGGTTAGTTCTCCAGTCTGAGACCATTTTAAGAACAAGATGAAATATGTTGGAATCATTAGAAAAGCTGTCAAAACCTCTGCTCCTCTTTCCATTAGGCTTTGATTTGTGTAAACTCAATATTTTTAGACACAACGGCTTTCTAAAGGCCATTAATAAAAGGCAGCCGTGGTTTGAGAATTGATGAACAATCTACTCCCTTGTCAAAAACTATATAAAAGTTGATTTGGAAGCAATACCTTGATTGCTCCTGCAGCCTACCTGTCTACAGACGAAGGTTTGGAATTCCGTGGCTTCTTCACTTGGGCATACAGAGTATCCATCATATGCCCTTCTCTTGGGCTCTGGGGTCTGGTGTTGAGAGCCACCGAGCCTTCGTAGGAAGACATTCCCCCATACAGCAACTCATCAGTACAACCCAATGTCCGATGAAAATCTTGGATTTCAGCATAGTCACGCTCTCGAGCTTGTCGCTCTCTAAATTCACGAGTTTTGGCTTGAATCCTGTAAAATTAGAACCAAGTTGAAACAAGAGAAACTATGTCTTTTCTAAGAAATGTATATACAGAAATATTCATCAAAATAGGTCATAAAATATATGTTATTTCATGCATCTGTAAGAAGATTGATGGTATAAACAATGTTATATACATTTTGGATTGTCAAGGTAACGTCATGCATGCTCTGAAATAATCACTTCAGATAGCTTTTGTTCACGTCAGTAAGGCATAGTCATGGTTTACAACTTCATTTAAATTGTCACTTATTAATTAGTTTAAGAAATTCGCCAGTAACAGATAGTTTTTAGGCACCCACTTGGGTCTTACTCATGAATTTTTTTAAGGCAAGAAGTGATTTTTCTTTTTTTTTCTTTTTATTTTTTCTTTTTATTTATTTATTTTTTCAACGTTTATTTATTTTTGGGACAGAGAGAGACAGAGCATGAACGGGGGAGGGGCAGAGAGAGAGGGAGACACAGAATCAGAAACAGGCTCCAGGCTCTGAGCCATCAGCCCAGAGCCCGACGCGGGGCTCGAACTCACGGACTGCGAGGTCGTGACCTGGCTGAAGTCGGACGCTTAACCGACTGCACCACCCAGGCGCCCCAAGAAATGATTTTTCTTAAAGTTACACACTCACACACATGCTATATATTTATATATTTATGTGTGAGTGCATAATGTATACATCTTACTCATTATAAATATACCGTACACATTCAACATATTACAAAGCCTAAACATAATCCACACCCATAATTTCTCTATTAATGGCAAAAGAAGATCTGTTTAATAACACCAGCTTTGATTTTATGTGATGTATACAGAATCGGCAAATCCTGAGATTAAGGACAAGAAGGCATGCATCCAGTCAAATTCTAAAATAAATCTTGAGTGTGTTATAACTAAGAAATAGATCATAAATAACCACTTTTACTGAAGATTGTTTAAATATTTCCTAAGATTTTATTGAGCTACTTGGTAGAAAGGCCTTTTCAACCTATAATATACTGATATAATTTATATCCTAGGTTGATTTCAGCTATCTAAAAATAATTAAACTACTTTCAATAGAATTTTAATGATTTTTGTTGGGAAAAGCATTTCTATTAAATATTTACAAATTTAAATGTATACTTAAAAGTGAAGTCTTATTTATATAAAGTAATATTTTAGACTGTGCTTAACATTTCATGACAAAGTTATTTGTTTTTATCATATCTGATGCAGACCACTGCTAGCATAAATGACATAAATATATATACAAAATAATACAGAAAAGATACAAAAGCTACAGAAAGCATAAAAAATTAAAAAACAAACTATGGACCAATATCCCTCATGAATATAGAATTAAAAATCTTTTGCAAAATATTACCAAGAAGAATTTAGCACTATGTAAAAAAGATTATATAACATGACCAAGTGATGTTTATTATAGTAATTCAAGGCTGGTCCAACACTCAAAAATCAATCAGTGTAATCCAACCTATTAACAGGCTAAAGAATAAATCACATGATCATATGAATTGATGCAGAAAAAGCATCTGAAAAAATTCAATACCCAACATGACAGAAGCTCCAAAAAAACTAGTAATAGAGCATAACTAACTTTCTAAACTTGATAAAGAGCATCTACAAAAAACCTATTAGTAACATCATACATTATACATCATGGAGAAAAACTGAATCTTTTTTTGATTTTAAATATTTTATAATGTTTCTTTTTTTGAGAGAGAGAGACAGAACATGAGTGGGGGAGGGGTAGAGAGAGAGGGAGACCCAGAATCCGAAGCAGGCTCCAGGCTCTGAGCTGTCAGCACAGAGCCCAACACAGGACTAGAACCCATGAACCACGAGACCATGACCTGAGCCCAAGTCAGATTCTTAACAAACTGAGCCACCCCGGAGCCCCAAAAACTGAATCTTAAGATGAGGAAAAGGGTAGGGATGTCTGCTCCCCCATAGTGCTGGAAATTCTAGACAGTGCAATCAGCCTAGAAAAAGAAATGGGTGGTACACAGATTGGGAAAAAAGAAATAAAACGATTCTTATTTGTGGATGACATAATGATATATTTGCAGGTCTACATACACAGAAAACCCCAAGAAATCTCAAAGTTTCCTAGAACCAAAGATTGAGTTCAGCAAAGTAACAAGATACATCATTAACACACAAAAATCCATTGTATTTCTATATGCTGTCAATGAACATGGATGCTGAAATTAAGAATATGATGTCATTTACAAGCACTAAAAAATGGAATATATACATAAATATACAGATGCACAGATAAACTAAAGTTGGTTTATAGATATGTATAAACATATATAGATAAATCTAACAAAACATGCATACAACTTGTATGCTGAAAACTATACAATGTTGATGAAAAAAATCAAAGAAAATCTAAAACATGGAGAGATTTACTGTGATCATGAATCAAAGACTCAACATAGTAAAGAAGTCAATTCTCTCCAAGTTGAAATCCAGGCTTAATATAATTCCTATAAAAACCCCAGGAAGATTCTTGCAGATATAGACAAGATTATTTTCAAATTTATAAAGAAAGAAAAAGGATAGAGTAGCTAAACAATTGTAAAAAAAAAAAAAAAAAGAATAATAAACTGGGAAAAATCACACTTCCTGATTTTGAGATGGAATATAGCCATGGTAATCAAGACTATGTGGTATCTGTGGAGGGACAGATACACAGATCAGAGGAACAGAATAAAGAATCCAGAAATAGCCAAGTATGGCCAACTGATTTCTTTTAATTGTGCAAAATCAATTCAATAGAATAAAGCATTCTTTTCAATAAATAGTGCTGGAACAATTAAATATTCCTATGCAAAAACAAAAACAAAACAAAAAACAAAGCACCCTGAATTTAAACATCGTACGTTATACAAAATAACCCAAAATGGATTACAAATTTAAATGTAAAAATGTAATACTATAATACTTTAGAAGAAAATCATTAGAACCTAACACTTGCAGATAATTCTTAGAAATACCAAAAGCATCATCCATAAAAGAAAAGACAAATAAATTCAACGTCACCAAAACTAAAAGCATTTCCTCTCTGAAAGGCTCTAATAGGACAATGAAAAGACAAGTACAGACCAAGAGAAAATATTTGTAAACCACATATTTGACAAAGAAGTCATGTCCAGAATATATAGGGAATACCTAACACTCAACAATGAGAACAACAATCCAATTAGAAGGGCAAAAGACAAGAAGCAATTTATTTCTCTGAAAAGTATATGCTGATAACAAATAAGCAGATAAAAATGTTCAACAACAGCAGCCATTAGGGAAATGCAAATTACGACCAAAATGAGCTACCACTACACACCTATTAGATCAGCTAAAAAAGTGAGAATATCAAATGCTAGCAAGGATGCAAGGAAACTGCATCTAACATACATTACTGGTGGAAATGTAAAATGGTACCATCAGCTGGAAAACAGTCTCGCAGTTTCTCACAAAAGTAGACATACACTTACCATTCCATTCAGCAATTGCACTTCTGGGCATTTATCCCAAAGAAATAGAAACTTAAGTCCATGCAAAGACCTGTACACAATTGTTCATAGACACTTTGTTTCTTATATTCGAAAACAGGAAATAACCAAAATATGCAACAATAAGTGAATGGTCAAGCGAACCAAAGTATATCCTTATCAAAGAGTACCACACAGCAATACAAATGAACAGACTATTAATATACACAGCAACTGGAATCAATCTCAGGGGCATTATTAAACTATGTGGGAAAAAAAAGTCAATCTCAAAGGTCACATGTTATAAGAATTCATTTATATAGCATTCTCAAAATGACAAAATTATAGACATGGTGAACAGAACACAATGGGGTGATGGTGATCATGGTGGGGTTTAGCAACGGTGAGAGCAGGGGGGTGGGTATGACCATAAAATATTAGTACGAGGAAGATCTTTGCAATGGAATAGTTGTTTCTTAATTGCATGGGTGGTTACATGAACCACACATGTGATTACATGACACAGAACTATGTATACACATGGCACCAATGCCAGTTTCCTGGTTTAGATATTGTACTATAGGCATGTATGATGTAACAGTTTAGGGAAACTGGATAAAGGCTACACAAGACTTCTTTGTACCGTCTTTGCAACTTCCTGTCAATCAAAAATTAATCCAAAATAAAAAGTTTTTAAAAACCCAGAAAGTTGTCACACAGCATTGCAAGCAAAATTTGCATTTTTCTCCCTTGGTTTCTTCTTACGTCAAGGCTATCACCATTATGCCAGTCTTGTTTATCTGAATTTTGGAACTGCTAGGTCATTTTTTTCTAATTTCTTTTATTTCCCGGCTATGAAATGGAAGTACTTAAATTCACCTAGCTTAGTGCTCCTCAACAGGGGTCCAGTGATATTTGAGAAAGGATAATTTGTTATTGTGCACAACTTCTTGCACAACTGCTTATCGCTGCATGTCATCAAGCAGTGTCCTCAGACATGGAGGCACGCAAAAACGCTTCACATTTTCCCAAAACCTCCCTAGAAGGGCCTTATTTCATGAGGTGAAAACCAATAACTTAATTTATAAGAGACTACTGAAAAGTTAAATTTTTTTTAATCAGGAAGGGTCCTAGATTCTAATAAATAAAAGTCCCACAGACATAATACCCATAAGAGAAATAGTAAGTCAAATTCTAATGTCAAATTTAGCTAAATTTATACTAGAATTCTTATTATAGTCTAGTCTACTTATTCATTTAGGAGTGATTATAACAGTCAAGGATGTTATTATAAAGGCTGATTACTACTAAATATTAGATATTCATGATGAAAAGTTCATATAAGTTCAGAGATAATTTTATTCTTTGCATCGTACTGTCTTTTTGACTCTGTATTCAGGCAGGAAAAACTACAGAAGAGAGAAATTACTTCTTTCTTCAACTCAATGGGATATTATTTGAAGCTCATTTATGGTCACTTACACTTTACTACTAT